CTGACCCAGCTAACCAATCACAGCACACACTGGCCCAGCTAACCAGTCACAGCACACACTGACCCAGCTAAGCAATCACAGCACACACTGACCCAGCTAACCAATCAAGTAACTAAAATGTTTTTATGGTTTTAGTTTTTAATTTTCTTACTCAGTATTTTTGTCGTGTTTTCCAATACAAATATCTAAATGTTTTTAAATTAAGATACATTTACTTGAGAAGCAAATTGACCTAAAATATAAAGTCTTATCTCAAAAAATGATAAAAATTAAGCGTTTTTATGGGTTTTAACTCTGAATTAAGTTTATTTTTGTAAGATATAAGATATTTGTTCTTAATTTTGATACATTTTTCAGAAAACAAGACTTGTCATTTTGCATCTCATGTAAGAATCTTTATATATTTGTACTAAAAAACAAGTCAAAAATACATTGCTTTTATTAGAAATGAAAAAATGATAGATTCTGAATAATTTCTTGTTGCGTATGTGTCTGTCTGAACATCCAAACAAACGCAGATAATCATGCGTTCCTGCCGTGTCCCAAATGAACATGGAAACTCACTAATGAAGTCTCGGTAGATGCTGGTTTCGCTTGAATGATTCTCACTCAGAATCTCCCTGCAGGCCAGACAAACTCAAGACGAAAGCATCACGGCGTCCTGCTCCTACAACCACCAGAAGATCATCGATCCGACCGCCGCTTCGGAGAAGAGCGTCCTCGCACAGATCCAGAAGAAGCTATCGCGGTGTCTGCGCCAGAGCTCGGCATCGGGACAGAGCGGAGCGGAGAAGGACAAGCGCTGTCGGCAGCTCCTGGAGCTGAAGTGTCAGATCCGCAACAGCAGTGAGTACGACCTCTTCTACGCTCGCAGCAGCACCATCGAGTGCAGCCTGACGGAGCCCAGCGGCGTGGAGCGCGAGCTCCGCATGCTCAACGAGGAACTGCGCAGCATCCAGATGGAGTGCCAGAACATCATGAAGGCGCATCAGCTGGGATCCCGCAAGCTGGCGGACATCAGCGAGCATCCCGAGAAGTCGGACAAGGACAGTTCGAGCGCGTACAACACGGCAGAGAGCTCGCGCAGCACGCCGCTAACCATGGACCGCTCCCTGGAGCGCCGCAGGGTCAGCCTGACCAACCAGAAGAACCTGCTGGCGCTCCGAAGGGTGCCGAGTGGCAGTCCCGACCACAGCAACCCATCTGAGTCCGAACAGACGCCTCCCGAAGGCTCCCACTCGCGAATCCCCGCACGGTGCCAGCGGCCGGTGGACGACCCGGTGCATGCGCGACAGCACCAGAGCTATGTGCAGCTGATCCAGCAGCAGTCGGCGGTGGAGTTCACCCTCAGCGGTCCGCAGGTCGCACGGCCTTCCGAACCCAAGATGGAGTGGAAGGTCAAGGTCCGGAGTGACGGAACCAGGTACCAGTCTTTACTTCGTTACTGTACTTAACTACATTTTTCAAGTATCTGTATTTTACATTTTGAGAAACTTTTACTTCACTATATTTCAAAGCATAGTGTCGTACTTTTTACTTCACTACAAACATGTCGTTATTCATTATTTTGAACTGGAGAAATTGTCACCAACTCCGAGACGTGATAGCGGTGTCCGATTCATGAATGAGCTGATTCTTTTCAATGAAGCTGTTAAATAAGTAAACAACTCACTGATTCAAATGATCAGAGTCAGAGCGAGTCTCCAGTCAATGACTCACTGATTCAAATGATCGAGTCAGAGCAAGTCTCCAATCAACGACTCACTGATTCAAATAATCGAGTCAGAGCGAGTCTCCAGTCAGTGACTCACTGATTCAAATGATCCGAGTCAGAGCGAGTCTCCAGTCAACGATTAAGTGAATTCAGAAGTCTAACTGATGAGTCAAGAACAAGAGATCAGCTTGAGTATGTGCAAGTGATGACGTGAAAAGTTAGTTACTAATGGCGAATTTTAGGATGTATTATTGTAAATGAAAATCATATTTAGGTCACGACTGTCAGTTGTTTGTGAAGTAAATCTGCTGAGTAAGGGCGAGCTGTTTAAGCCCACTGTATGAAATGCTTGAATGCAAACATGCCCGCATTTGTGTATCACAGTCTCAACGGGGAAGGTTGAGGGTAAAAATGAAACATATCATTAAAATAACACAAATTAATGCCCATGCATCTTCCCGGCTGCCGAAGCTAGTATGTTTGTATCCGAGTATCAGCAGTATCCAGACGTATCAGTAACCTAAACTGATATTTTAATATCATTACTTTAATATATGTAATGTTTAATATATTTAATCTTTTGATAGTGTATGACAAGCCTCCCTCCCTCAGGCTTTTTGAGCAGTAGGATTATATAAAATATATAATATAACATTATTAAATATAAAATGATATTAGTTAAAAATTACAAAATAAAAATTCATCGATCAGTACTTTTTTACTTTTAATACATAAGTGCATTAAAAATAAAATAGTTTTGTACTTTTACTGTAGTAAAATTGAAAAGGAGTACTTAATTCCTTTACTGGAGTAATATTCTGTCTGTGTTTGTTTTGTGCTCTCCAGGTACATCACCAAACGGCCCATCCGCGACCGACTGCTCCGGGAGCGAGCGCTCAAGATCAAGGAGGAGCGCAGCGGCGGCATGACGACCGACGATGACGCCATGAGCGAGATGAAGATGGGACGCTACTGGAGCAAAGAGGAGCGCAAGCAGCACCTCCTGCGGGCCAAGGAGCAACGGCGGCGGCGCGAGTTCATGCAGCGGAGCCGCTTGGAGAGCCTGCGGGAGAATCCACTCAGCAGCGGAGAGGGAATCATCGAACTCAGCCAGCGCAAGATGATGAAGAAGCGGAACAAGAAGATTCTGGACAGCTGGATGACCATTCAGGAACTGATGACGCACGGGAAGAAAGCGCCGGAAGGATCCACAGTTCACAACGCCTTCCTGTCCGTTACAACTGTATAGATTCATGCAAGTTCTCCAACTTTACCCATGCGGTACGATCTACTTTTGCCTCGTTCAATGCGGCGATTTTTATGAGAAAAGACGAGACTATTTTCACACTTTGTTAATGTTTTCTAAGCAATTAAACGAGTGCTTTTAAATGCTTTTTTGTTACCGGAATATTTCAACTAGGGTACCTAAAGAAATATTTCATTCAAACAATACAGTTCTGTCATAATTCACTTTTAGTCCAAACCTCTATGACTTTCTACGAAGTCTCTTAGAGGACTTGGTGATGGAAGAATATGAGATGGGAGGGGAAATTATCTCAGTGTTTTTGAGTGCGCTAGCTATAGTTTGGCATTCCCTCAAGCAGGGCCATCCTTAGGGGGTGCAACTGGTGCGGTCACACCGGGCCCCCCGCTTGAGGGGTGAACGGACCGAGGGGGGCCCCGCTCCCTACCTTGCACCGGGGCCCCACGTCAGCTAAGGACGGCCCTGCCCTCAAGAAACTTGCAATCGCTCCTTTGCACACCAAAATTTTGCTTTATATGCAAAAATGTTTCAACATTTTGAATTTTTACTTTGCGTTCGCTCTTTTTGAATCACTAAAGTTTTGCTTTAAATAATTTTTTTCAAAATGTTGCTTTCGCCTAAGGCATTCATTTTTTAAATCACTATAGTGTCAAATTCATCCAAGAAAATTTTGTCAAAATTTTGAATTTGTACTTAAATTCGCTCGTTTGGCTTTGCTTTTGTCCAATCATTTTTTTTTCAAAAATTTGACTTTGAACTTTGCATTTGTCCGTTTGCTCACTAAAGTTTTGCTTTCGACCAATATAATTTTTTTAATCAAAATGTAGAATTTGTACTTTGCATTCGCTCGTTTATTCGCTAAATTTTTGCTTTTGTCCAAGAAAATATTCACTTGAACTTTGCATTTGCCCATTTGTTCACTAAAGTTTTTCTTTCGTCCAAATAAATTTTTTCCAATTTCTTTGTTTCACTCTTTGTGTTCAGTCACAAAATCTTTGCAAGTGAACACAAAAAAAAATATTGTGAAAGAACGCAATATGGAATATAATTTTTCCCCCATCTGATATTTCCCTGATGTATCCTATGGACTACTTTTACTTTGGAGCTTAAAGGGGTGCTATTATGCTTTTTCACATTTTCAGCTTTAGTTAGTCTGTAATGTTGCTGTTTGAGCATAAAAAAGATCTGCAAAGTTACAAAGCTCAAAGTCCACTTCAAAAGGAGATATTTTATTTAACTGAAATCATACAGGAACTATTCGAGCCGTTCATGCCAGACTGGGGAGAGAGGTGTTGTAATAATGTAAAATATGTGAAAAATACAACCTAGTATGAGAGCCTGTTCTAGTACACCCCCAAAACAAAATCAAGACTTTGTAAAAGAGCATAATAGGACCCCTTTAAGAGCCCCAGTTCGCATTAACATTTATTATATATAAAAAAACAACAACAACGTTTGTTCTGCTGAAGAAAGTCAGTCAGTCAGGTGTGGAAAAGCATGAGGGTGAATAAATTAATAAATTTTTCATGTTTTATTTATTTGTCATTCCTCACAGGATCTGAAGTAAATTTCAGGTCATGTTTACATTTCAGCAAAATGTGAATTATTGTGCAATCTCCTGCCTTTAATCAACACTGCTGAGTCTAAATGCACGTGTATATTTGTCTGATCCTTGACGCGATCGTGCGCAGCAGCGCAAAGTTGATTCTGTGCTTACTTGATGTAATATTTTATGTTTTTTTAAATGTTGTAGATTTAAGTAGCAAATGAGAATGGTCAAAGGTCTTCTTTATGATTTTCAGTTTTGTTTAAGATAATTAAGGCAACAGTTTTTAAATAATGAAAGAATATGTAAAAGTATGGTATTTGGGGTAAAAAGCACCCTGCTGTTGGGGCACAAGGCACAGTAATTAACATGATTATTAATAGATGGCTGACTTTTCCATTTGTTGACATGACATGGTTAGATTCAGATGGTAAATATCATATATTATGTTGGGTGTCCATATTAGAGATAATCAACCTGTTTAGAATGAAACCATCATATTTAAAAACATGATATTATTCATATCATATAATAAAATATCATTTGTTGTTACCACTGTAAATATATATTCACTTATTATTGGATCTCCTTCAATACTTTCAGAATCTTTACTTATTAAAATGATTTTGTTTCTGAATTTTTTTAATATATTTTTATATTAACATATTTTTATGACAGTATATTTATTGAACAAAATTAATTCTTATATTTTTCAAAATAAGAAATTAGTACAAACTTTGCTAAAGTGATTGTTTTTAACAAGTATTAACTTAGACATTACTTAAAAAACATTATTTTAGCTGAAGTGTTTGTATCAATACCGTGTGTGGGGTAAAAGGCCCCTCGTCACCTCATACATTTATCAGATTTTTAAACAAAATAAACAACTTGAATGATTTATTTAAGTCCTGTTTTTAAACTAAATAAAAATACATGAATAGATGTGAAAAGGCAAAAAGAGTGATTTTTTTTTAAAAATCACCAATCAATTTTTTATACCAAACTACCTCATACATTTATCAGATTTTTAAACAAAATAAACAACTTGAATGATTTATTTAAGTCCTGTTTTTAAACTAAATAAAAAATACATGAATAGATGTGAAAAGGCAAAAACAGTGATTTTTAAAAAAAAATCACCAATCAATTTTTTATACCAAACTTTGTATAAAAATGATTCTCAACTATGTTGTGAAAGATATAAAAGAATGATTTGATATACCACTTTGCTTTATGCAGTATATGTGTAAAATGGCCATAAATGGGTTTTCCCATGATATACTATGTATCTATACACTGTATCTATTTTGCATAATAATGTGTTCTTGGGGCAACATGTAATGAAAAAAGAAGTGTAATAATGGGAGTAATTATTGGCCAGATTTTCATAATAATATCCAATTTTTTATAGAAATATTGCTATATCATTAATTTTCCTATTCACTTGTGTCTCCCAGAATGCGTAATAAACACACTTTTATTCCTGCTGTCCTCTGCAGTGGACATGTATGAAATAAATGTCCTGTTTCCTAACATAGTCATATTTTGATTTGAAACCCCATAACATTTTCCTGAGATGTTGATTTATGACAAAAAATTGGAAAATTAGAAAATATTATCATGTTTCCATAAGGGCGTTAAATTTGATCACTAAATTAATGTCAGTCATCTTTAAATATCTCTGAAAAGTCCTGAATGTGCTCTTTACGGGACATCCATGTGAGGTCTCAGAGTCACATTCTTTATACAGTCACAGTGCAACAATTCTTGGCCTAAAATAGGATGAATCAAAACTGCTTAAAACCAATAAATTATCTGTTTTTTCCTCATTTGATTTTGGCTGAAATATGAACTGGATCTGTTTCGTGAGACTGACTGAAAAGAAAAGCACACTCATCTTCAGTTTGTAGATGTTATCCTTCAGAAGCTCAAACACATCACGAAACGAGAGTTCACTTTAAATCTCGAAACACGCCAGCTTCATTCCCATATCACTCATTGTCCCGCGGTGTGCTCGGCTAATTAGGCTGTGTGATTGGCTCAGGTGTAATTAAAGGCGATTGGGTGACAGTGCTGGCATTTGTAACAGCATCAAACAGCAGAAATGTCAGACGGATAACGCTGGTTCAGTCTGAGAGCCACTCATAACCTTTAGTGCTCTGAACGGACGAACTGTAATGAGTCCAGCCGTGTCACTTCAGGTATTTATGGAGCAGATGATCTTTGATATGCTAATTGAAGTGCGCAGTAATGGCTCTCCGTGATGCTGGATCATCTGAGCAGACGTCTTCATCGAGCCATCAGTTTTATGAGCTGCGCTGAGATCAGATTAATAGACTGAAGAAACCAAAGCAGCAGCTGTTTCCCATCAGAACATCATCATTTACTCTCCCTGCAACTCTAACCAGAGCTTCAGCTCAATGCTGCTATTCTCTGCTTTTTGGACATCAGAAGATTCAGAAAAATCAAGGAGTTTTTAAAATTACTTTTGGTGTAGTCATGATAGGGAGATGTAAAATATGTGTCCACCCTGTTAGGGACAAATGAACAACAGTTTAAAAGATACATGAATTTAATGAATGGGCAATATTTTTTTTCCAGATATTTTGCCCTTGCCATATATACTGTATATATATGACATCATTTCATATCATGTCAGTAAAAATTAATTAATTAAAAAACTTTACTTTACTTGTAATTTAATTTACTTCTAAAAAAAAATAATCAGCTTATCAGGCAATAATTTGTAATTCTATATAAATTTAAATATTACAAAAATAAAAAATCTAGATATACTTCATATAAACAAAAACATGATTTTTCTCACCAACACATAACTTTACTTTTTTTAAGATACAAATGAATTTAAAAAACTTTACTTTACTTGTAATTTAATTTACTTCTAAAAAAAAATAATCAGCTTATCAGGCAATAATTTGTAATTCTATATAAATTTAAATATTACAAAAATAAAAATCTAGATATACTTCATATAAACAAAAACATGATTTTTCTCACCAACACATAACTTTACATTTTTTAAGATACAAATGAATAACGATGTTTTTGTTTACTTTTTAAAGAAATACATTATACTCCAATACAATTTTTTGACAATTGTTAGTTTATTTGCTGATATTATAAAATTATCGTAAAAAAAAAAAAAAAATGCATAAAAGGGTGAACAAAATAACTGGGTTTTGATAGGAAATAATATGTAAAACATTACTTCAACTTAATTAAATGACTTTCCCTATTACTACGTATATAGTATATAAAATTAGATTTAATAATAGAAAAAGATCTATACATTACATAGATTATTAATTACCCAACTATGTGAAGAAATAACTGATATAAATGTTGTGTTTTAAGTGTTAAAAGCCTGGAGGCAAAAGAAAATAGCGATATTTGGTGGTTTAAAATTCTGTAAAATGCTTACAGTTATTTTTAGTCAGTGTGATTAATCTTGAAATGTTATTATTTATGACTAAGTTTGAAATTGATATTGTTCAGATTTTAGGCCAGTAAGATGTTGATCTTTATTGGGGACACAAAAGGCACTGAATACCAACGATCAACCGCTTAGCTCCTCTTTTACACACAACAGCAGCTCATTTATACAATAGAAGTGCAAACAAGGAACCGGACAAACCCTGATCGGAGGCTTGGCCACACTTGAACTAGTTTGACAGCTCCAGTCCCGGTTTTCCCTGGAGAAGCTGCAGGTGTGCTGGAATCATCGTGGGAATTCTGAGGCCTGACAGCGGAATAAGGAGCATTGATGAGGAATGAGTGCGTCTGCAAACTGGGCTGAAGCAGAGCAT